TGCTCTCACTCCTCAGAGCACTTGAATGCGACCTCCTTGTGTAGGAGCTTGAAGAAGGGGAGGGCGTGTTAGGCAGACTTGGCGATGAAGCGTGATAGCAAAGCGAGCATCCCGTTTAGTGACTGGATGGAATTCTCCGTGTTCGGTGTGGCGAACTCGGAGAAAGCCTGACACTTATCTGGGTTCGCCTCTATTCCTCGTTCCGTTAGGTAGAATCCGAGGAATTTTCATAGTTCGTACGCCGAAGGTGCACTTTTCAGGGTTAAACCTCATTCTGCATTTCCTCGTTCTCTCGAAGACCTTCTTGAGATGGGTGGTGTGGTCAACCTCTTCTCGCGACTTCACGATCATGTTTTCCATGTAGACTTCGAGCATGTACCCGATTTCTCCCCGGAAGACCTTGTTTATCATCTGCTGATAGGTCGCACTGACGTTCCTCAAACCGAAGGGCATTACGTTGTAGTAGTAATTTCCCGACTCGGTCATGAAGGTCGTGATTTTTTGCCGGCCTTCACCATGGGTATTTGATTGTACCCCAAGTACACGTCCATAAATGACAGTAGTTTAAAACCTGCAGAATTGTCAACGAGTTTGTCGATGTTAGGTAACGGGTACACATCTGTAGGACATGCCCGGTTGAGATCAGTATAGTCAACACACACCCTCCATTTTCCATTTTTTTAAACTAATACAACGTTGGACAGCCAGGTTGTGTATTGGGCTTCCGATATAAAATTTGCCTCTAGGAGGTCTTTTACAGCTTTTTTAGCAGCCTCCGCTTTCTCGGGACACTGCCTACGCCTATGTTGAACTATGGCCTTAGCGGCTAGATCTATGATGAGGTGGTGGCATGCTATGTCGGAGTTAAGGTTGGGTATCTCCACAATGCTCCACGCGAACAGGTTGGCGTTCTCCCGAAGGCATTCTTTTAGCTGCTTCCTCGCCATATCGGGGAGTCTCACGCCAATCTTCACGCTTCTCCTTGGGTCATCTCCGAGCGTGATGAGCTCAAAGTCTCCATATGGAATGGGGCGCATTGGGTGGGACGGTTGCCTATTGTCTGTTGGGGGCGTGTCTTCAGATTCTACGCTCTGCTCTTGCTTGTTGGGGAAGCGGGTGTCGAGGTCGACGTGAGGAAGTGGCTTCTGCTCCTTAGCCCGGGATGGTCTGCCGGTCGACTTGGGGGGGGGGGGGGGACGTTGATCGATTTGAGCCATTTGAGCGCCGCCTCGAAGCATCTCCTGGACGCTTCAATGTCCCCATGGAGGGTGACAAACTGACCTCTGTTCGTGTAGTACTTCATCTTCAGGTGGACTGTAGATGGTACCACGGTTAGTTCAACCAATGTCGGCCTTCCCAGGATGCACTAGTACAAATATGGGCACTTGATCACCAAGAAACAGGCCTTCACCTATCTAGCCGTCTCCTCAACCCCAAATGTGACGAGCAACTTCATGTATCCCCAAGGCTTGATGGTGGTACCGTTGAAGCCTTGTAGGTCAGATCCGACATACGGGGTCATGTGGATCTCGTTGAGTTGGAGGGTCATAAACAGATGGGTGTACATTATGTTCGCCAAACTCCCTTGGTCGACTAGGATACGGCGCACATTGAAGTTCGCCATCTGAGCCCTGATTAAGAGGGGAATGCTGGAGTTTGGTGCACCCCCTGACCTTTGAACTTATCGAGGGTAGTGTTCGTCTTCGAGCTCTTGTCGATCAGTTCCTCAAACTTCCTCTTGACCAACCCGGCTGAGAGCTTGATGGGGCCCCCGCCGGATATGACCAAGGTGGCGTGGAAGTCCTCCAATGGACTATAGGCGTACAAAGATCTAGCGGGCTCACTAAGAAGGATGAAATCCTATAGCTGGGAGACACACAGGGTGATTTGTAGTCCAGCTTCTTCAGTGGGCGGTGACACTTCCTCGACCCGCTTGACTCTGCGGGTCTCCTATCGAGGAGCCTCGTTTCTCCTGGTGTATTATTTTAGGTGCCCCTCTTTGATTAGGATCTCGTTTGCATCCTTGAGGTAGATTCGATCTTCCATGACGTGTCCATGGCTTCGATGGAACCGCCAGTATTTGGATTTGTCGACGTTGGGCTTCGGGGGTGTCAGTTTTGGGAAACGGACACCGCCTCTCTAAAACTACGAATTGATACATTCTGAAAGAATGCGCTCATGGGGAGCTGTGAGTAGCGTGTATTCGGTGAACCTTCCCGCTGGCCCCCTATGTTCATAGAGTCAGTCCTCTCTTCTCTTTCCCCGCCTCTTCGAGGAGGCACGTCATGCTCATACTGGGCGTCCCTGACGCCTTCTTGATTCCACGTGTCACGAGTTGCGTTGGCGGCCTCTATTTCCTCATACTATATGTATGATTAGGCCTTGAGGAGGAGAGCATTCAATGTGCAGGGGCGTTTGATCCCAACAGCTTTGGCAAAGTCGGAGCGAGGTCGTATTCCTCTCTCGATCAGGAATTTCTTCATGTCGTTCATGGTGGATACCTGACAGCTTCTCGATTGAACCTATCTATGTAATCTCGAAGAGGTTCTTTCTTCCCCTAGATGATGGCTTCTAGGGCTGCCTCTGTCTTTGGGTGGCGCATGGAGGCTGTGAAGTGCCAGGAGAACTGCCTATTCAGTTCGCCTCAAGAGGTGATGGACTCGAGCGTGAGGCGCTTGTACCACGTCATGGCACCCTTTGTCAGGGTAGTGGGGAAAATCCTGCACTTGATGGCTCCACATACATTCTGATAGTCGAGCATTGTGTTGATGCTTTCTATGTGGTCGTCCAGGTCGGTCGTGCCACCATATGTTGCCAAGGGCGGAGGTTTCTCCATTCTGATGGGCAGTGGGGTCTCCCTGATGCCCTTACAAAGCGGTGAGCATTGGTTGTCTTCATCGCTCCTGAAGGGTGATCGTGAGGGGGAGACTGGTCCCCACTTGTTTTTGTTCCGCCGAAGAGGACTCCTCGATCGGGCTCTTAGCTTTTCGACGCCTCCTTCAGCTTTGTTCCTCTTCTGAGCGGGGTAGTGTTGCTCCTTACGGGGAGGTGACCGGTCACGCTTTTAAGAGGCCATTGGATGTGGCCGCTCCAAGCAAGGGTGACGCCTGAACAACCGAGGAGATGGGCTCTGAAAATCTTCGTGCTACGTCCTCTGTGGGGGAGGAGAAGGGCTGCTGGAAATCGGGCGACAATGTCTCCGTGGGGGAGAGTGTAATGGTCGCTCCTTCTCGAGCATCCCTATTCGCTGATTCTTTTGGAAGATCATCATGTTGATCTGGTTGATCGTCGCGAACAGTGCCACCATGGTAGGGTCGGCACCAGGTGGCACCGGGATGGGATGGTAGACAGTCGGGCTATCAAAGTGCCGGGCAGCGTTGAAGGCCGCGTCTTCAGAGGAGGGAGAGGCGGTGTGCTCGTCCCTGTAGTCGCCCTTGTTGGCGTGAATGGTCACGTTGGGGTTATGGTCGTCACTGTTGTTGAATGGAACAAAGGAGGTTTCCGAAGCGTTGTTATGGCATGGGCTGGCCATGATCAAATGGAAGTTGAAAGTTACTTTGGTTCTTGAGCTTCTATACTTGGGTAGGAGAAAGAATGAGGGAGCAAAGGGTTCTCACAGACGGCACCACTGATCTCACCTGATCAGAAAAGAATCAGCATTCTGCCACGCGCCGTAAGCTCTTGTATTCACCGGTGTGGTAGAGGAGGAGGGGGTGTACTTGCAAGGTACTCTGATGCTTAAGTGAGTAACAAAGTTTAGAGAGAGAGAGAGAGAGAGAGAGAGAGAGAGAGAGAGAGAGAGAGCAAGTACAGAGAGAATAGGTGTAGAGAATAAGATACCTGACCCTCTAATGAAATAGAGTATTTATAATGTGCCCCCAGCGCAGGGCAAACAGTTACATTGCATTAGGCTGAATTGCCAAGTCCAACACAAGTAGTTTCTAGGGCTTACGTGGCGTAGGAAAGACCAGCACATGGTCTTCGCTCTGGATCAACTATCCCGTGATCTTCGGAAGATGGGCTGAGCAACTCTTTCGGAAGTGGGTAATTGTCTGATGACGTATCCCGCATGGGGGACACTTGAAGAGCGTGGGGAAAGCGCGTGAGCTCTCCCCGTGCTAGGTAGTGGTCTGCCCGACTGAGGGGCCTTATTGAGATGTGTGCCCGACATGGGAGGATTGAGCCTAGTTGGGCCTCCCCAATGTAGCATTGGGTTGGACTTATCCGACTGAGGGGCAGATCTCAGAAATAATACTACGCTCCAATTTATAAAAATACTACTGAACCGTACTGCAGAAACTATCTGTCGCTTTCCCACAACAAACAATTGGGCCAAACGCAAGGACATGACTCCTGCCTCCCTTCGCTGTCTACAATTATATATATAGGAGAGAGAAAAAAATGACATATAACCTCTACTATTTATTTTAAAATTTAATGATTCAGATTGAATATATATATATATATATATATATATATATATATATATATATATATATATATATATATATATATATATATATATATATATATATATATATATATATATATATATATATATATATATATATATATATATATATTAAAAGTTATGTAGTACTCATCAATATCTTGTAGTATGTGATTAATTATTTATTAAAAGTAATTTCAATAAAGAGGACGACTAGGTGGCTGGGAGGAGGAAAAGCTTTCTCTATGTCTCATTATTGGACGATTTTACTCTTTGTTAAATCATCCATTCTTGACAAATAGATTTTAAAATGGTTATTATTTGCTTTTGACCAAATTGGAGCAAATTTTGATGCTACTTGTTAACCGTTGCCGTCAACAAACTACATTATTACATGTATAAAATAACAAAAATAATAAAATAGCTTGTCACATTAAGTAGTACTATCATCCTAGAATGGATTCTGTTTCTATAAAAAGAGTAACCTATGGACGTTTGGTTTCATTCACCAACTCATTTTCCATAGAGACAGACCCTGCAAGTTAAATCAATGGCCACTAAAGTTTACATTATGTAAGTTATGTTCTTCCTCTCTTTTAATTTTTTGCTTTTTCATTACAAGATCAATAATTCTATATTGTATCCTCCTTCTGAATTTTTGATTGCATGTTTAGTTACCATTCTGTGTATGGACATGTTGAGAAGCTAGCTGAAGAGATTATAAAGGGAGTTTCATCTGTAGAAGGTGTAGAAGCAAAACTATGGCAGGTTTGTAATCATCTTACTTTTTTTTAGTTTTAAGTTATTCAACCGAAATCCACGAAAACTTAACTCAACTGATGAAAGTCGATATTACTAGATTGAACATTATTATCTGAGTTTAAATTTTGATACTCGTGATTGTGTGCGAGTTTCTAGTATTTAAAACAAAGACGTTTTAGAGTTGAGGAGATTGAAAATTTGATATCACTGGTGTGTATATATATATATATATCAGATCCATCGGTTAAATGAAATATTGTACTTTTGATTTTGATAGTAATAATATTTTTGAAGGTACCTGAAATATTGTCTGAAGAGATACTAAGGAAGATGAAAGCACCACCAAGGAGTGAAGTTCCGGACATTTCACCAAAACAGCTTGTAGAAGCTGATGGTTTTTTGTTTGGTTTTCCGGCAAGATATGGAATGATGTCTGCTCAATTCAAAGTGTTTTTTGATGCAACTGGAAGTTTATGGAACAAACAAGCACTTGCAGGAAAGCCTGCTGGCTTCTTTTTTTCCACTGCTTCTCAAGGAAGTGGCCAGGAGGAAACAGCGTTAGTCATTCTTCATTCTCATTTTTTTTTATGAAAGTGACTTAGATTCGACCTAACATAAACCCACTATAATTTTAAAATATTTTTAAAAAATTCATTTTATTTACAATATTGTCTTTTAAAAATATAAGTAAAAAATTATATACATTTGTCCTTTTGTTTGGGTTGATACAACATAAATATTTTATTACAAATTTTCAGGTTTACATCTATCACTCAGCTTGTTCACCATGGAATGCTTTATGTGCCCATTGGTTACACATTTGGTGATGGAATGTTTGAGATAGAGAAAGTGAAGGGTGGATCACCATATGGTTCAGGAACTTTTGGAGACCATGATGTTGGACAACCTAGTGAGTTAGAATTGGCTCAAGCTTTCCATCAAGGTAAGTGCTTTGCTGGAATTGCAAAGAAGCTCAAGGGTTCACAATAATTTTTATCTTAATTCACTGCATATTGTGTATCCACTTATCATATACTATAGTTTAAATTAAATAAGATGCTTGTAACATAAAGTGGTGAAAAAGTTTGAGAATAATTTAATTAATCTAGTGTTGTTGAATGGAGTATTGTGCTTAGTTATTGTTAGAACAAGAATTTGGTTATTCATATTAATCTCAATAAGTTCAATTTTTGTGTGTTTAAAAGCTATACCATGAATAGAGCCAAGTATTTATAATTCATCAACAATATATTTATGAATTCTATGATAATATATATATATATATATATATATATATATATATATATATATATATATATATATATATATATATATATATATATATATATATATATATATATATATATATATATATATATATATATATATATATATATATATATATGGGAAATTAAGAAAACAATAACATATTAATATGCAGCGGATATAAAACATCATGTATCTAATGATATTTCTCATCAATGTGTTTGGACCTATTATGAAAAGTCAGATTTTTACCAAGATGAATAGTGTTTTGATTATCAACAAATAACACATATTTGTCTTGAACAAAACCAAATTCCTGCAAAAAATTCTTCAACCATAATAACTCTTTGCATTCTTCGGTAATTGCAATGAACTCAACCTTTGTAATAGACAGTGCTACACACTTTTGCAATATGGACTGCCAAGCCAAGCAACTCCCCTTAAAATTTAATCATGTTCCCGAAATGAATTTTTTGGAATCAATGTCTCCAGCTAAATCAGAGTCAGAGTATTCCACTAGAGTAGGCTTATCTCCTCCAAAACAAAGTCTCGCTAAGTGGTACCACGGAAATACCTTAAAATCCATTTTACAACATTCCAATGCTCTCTATTTGGGTTTGACAAAAATCTACTGACTATACCAACAAGTACTATATCTGGTTTTGTGCATGTCATTACATACATCAAACTACCCACTGCAAACGCATAAGGAACACGTTTCATATCAAATGTTTCATCTTCACTTGAAGGACTTTGATTAGAACTTAAGTTGAAATTAGTAGCTAGAGGAGTGTTGATCACCTTAGAACTTTCCATTTTGAATCTTTGCAGCACTCTTTCTGTTGTGAATTAGATATCTTATAACAAAGTATAAACCAGTTTCTTAATGATCAAGAAACACACAATGGTTAGGGTTAACAAAGAAGACAAGGTAAAACAACAAGGAACAACAAGGATTGGTTATAAACAGTTATTCTTTCCTTTCTCTTAGGACAAGATTACAAGTATACAAGAATAACAAAATAACCTCTCTCTCTTGAAATTAGGATTTTATCTTCCTATTTTTCCTTATGCCAAGATTGAGAAACTAGCATCCTATTTATAAGAAAAAATAGCACACTAACCTAATGGGTTTTTTTTAACAATTACCCATTACAAGTTAACTTAAACAATTGGGCTTACAATAAAGGCCAAATTCAACATGCTAACAACCTAGCAATATTGACTAATGCGTGTTAGAACAAACCTCGACTACAACATGCATTATCTTTGACAGCAGCATGAGAACATACTTCGACCTCATGCTTAATTCCTGTCGAACCAGAAGCTATCCTTCGACCATATTAGAGTTCGATCCAATATCTCACAAATCTCCACCTTGGATCTAACTTTATAACATCAAGGGACTAGCTTTCTTCATGCAGCTTTATTAACTGCATACAGTGGAAAAACTTGCAACTGGGCAACGTCTTGGTGATCATATCAGCAGCATTATGATCTGTCAAAACCTTCAGCACTTGAACTTCTCCACGCTCGATTACATCTTCGAAATTGTTGCTTGCTATTAGAATATCATCCACATATAGCAACAAAATAACAAATGAATTAACAGGTCGAAATCTGAAGTAAACACAATGGTCGAACTGACTTCTGATGAAACTTATGCGTGCCATGAAGTTGCCGAATCTTCTATTCCACTGTCGAGGAGATTTTTTTAGTCCATATAAAGATCTCTTTAGTTTGCACACATAATCTTCTTTCCTTTTTTTGACATACCTTTCTGGTTGCCTCATAAGGACTGTTTTATCCTTCGTCTTCTGAATGAATACCCATAGCTTTCTGGAATAGTCATCAACGATGGATAGAAAATACCTTGCACCTGAGTATGAAGGATTCCCTGCAGGCCCCCAAAGATCAGCATGAATGTAATATATGGATCCATGTTTTTTTTGCTTGCCTTTGTTAAACTTCACCCTATAGGATTTACCAAATACACAAGATTCACAAAACTCCAACTTTTTGACGTTGTCACCTCCTAGCAGGTTCTGCTTCCCCAATTCGACCATGCCTCTTTCGCTGACACGGCCCAATCTCATGTGCCATAATTCTGTCTTCGACATATGTTTCGTAGATGCAACATTTTTCGAACCACTTACAACCTCAACCTCAAGGGTATACAAGCCTTGTTTCTTCACGCCTCTCAAGACTTCCTTCGACCCCTTCATGACTCTTAGGATACTTTTCTCTCTTTGAAAAACGTATCCCTTTCTGTTGAATTTACCAAGAGAAATCAAATTTCTCTTCAAGTCAAGTACATACCTGACTTCAGTCAATAACCTTATTGACTCATCATGGAGCTTGAATCTCACAGATCCAATACCTGCAATTTTACAAGATTTGTTGTTTCCCATCACCACAGATCCACCATCTTGATCACATAGCTCCTCGAACAATTCTCTATTTGGAGTCATGTTCCAAGTGCAACCTGAATCCATAATCCACTCTTTTCTCGAGTCGCTACTTGAAACCACAAGAACATCAGATGAGTCAAAGTCATCTTGAACAATGGTTGCGTTGCCATTACCTCCATGATATTTAAGTGTTCAGGGCACACCTTTCTTGTGTGACCCTCCTTGTTACAGTGATAACATCAAATACCAGATGTTTCACCACTATAAGATTTATGTTGACTTTTACCTTTCTTCTTGTCGAACTTACCATCATTTCGCAAGAATTTTCCCTTAACGGTCAAACCTTCACCCACCGTCAAAGGTTTATGCTCCTTTCGTTCATTCAAGTCCTTAGAATAGAAGGATGATTTAACTTCTTCAAAGGTCAGGGACTCCCTTACATACAAAGAGTTTCTTTGAAGTGAGCATGTGTTCTGGGCAAAGCACACAACAACAATAGTGCTTGATCTTCATCATCGATCTTCACATCAATATTTTCAAGATCAAGAATCAACTTGTTGAACATATCCAACTACTCAGCCAACACTTTTTCTTCACTCATCTTGAATGAATACAAATCTTGCTTCAGGTAGAGTCAATTCACCAGAGATTTGGTCATGTACAAACTTTCAAGTTTCACCCATAATCTCGACATTGTAGTCTCCTTTGATACCTGTCAAAGAATCTTATCACCAAGGCTCAACAATATTGCGCTATGGGCTTTCTCGATCATGCCCATCTTTTCTTTTTCCGTTAACGCATCGTCCATGGCTGCCTCACCCTTCAACGCTTCCAAACAATCTTGCTGAACCAGTATGACTTTCATCTTCAAGCGCCACAGACCAAAGTCGTTCACTCCGGTGAACTTTCCAATCTCATACTTTGTTGAAGGCATCTTCTCCATGCTCACCGCACCAATTTGTTGTAAATCGGATACCTTATAACAAAGTATAAATCGGTTTCTTAATGATCAAGAAACACACAAGGGTTATGGTTAATAATAAAGACAAGGTAAAACAACAAGGAACGACAAAGATTGATTATAAACAGTTATTCTTTCCTTTCTCTTAGAACAACTCTCTCTTAAAATTATGATTTTATCTTCCTATTTTTCCTTATGCCAAGATTGAGAAACTAGCATCCTATTTATAAGAAAAAATAACACACTAACCTAATGGACTTTTTAAACAATTACCCATTACAAGCTAACTTAGGGTACAAGCTAACTTAAACAATTGGGCTTACAAGCAAGACCCAACTCAACATGCTAACAACCTAGAAATATTGACTAATGCATGTTAGAACAAACTTTGACTACAACACGCATTATCTTCGACAACAGCATGCGAACATACTTTGACCTCATGCTTAATTCATGTCGAACCAGAAGCTATCCTTCGACCATACTAGAGTTCGATCCAATATCTCACACTTTCAATATAATGTTCTTGTGACATCCAAGGTTTCTTCTATTTTCTATCATTTATGATTCTAATGCCAAGAATTTGTTTAGCTGCTCTAATGTCTTTCATGGAAAATGACTCTCCCAATTGCTTATTTAACTTGTTAATGTTAGAAATAATTTTCCCTACAATAAGCATATCATTAATATATAACAACAAGATAATGAAGTCATCGTTAAAACATTTTCTAACAAAAATGCAATGATCTGAAGTAGTCTTCTGGTATCCTTGATCCACACATAACAGACTCAAACTTCTTGTACCACTGCCTTGGAGCTTGTTTCAATCCATATAAACTCTTGATTCTTTGAACTTCTTGTACCACTGCCTTGGAGCTTGTTTCAAACTATATAAACTCTTATTTCAACCCAAATGTTGGAACTACAATAATGACACTCCAGATTCTTGTATCGTGGCTTGGACTTGCTTATGTTATTCTCTCTACCACCCTTCGGTTCCTTTTTATGACTTCTCCCGCTATTTTCAGTGACATGTACCTTGGGTTGAGATGAAGAACCCTGTGTCTTCCTTCTCATCTCCTTATTAAGAATATCATCCTTAGCCGTTTCTAAAGAAATAACACCTCTAGAAGCAGAACTTATGATAGAAACCCAAAACGTCTCCTAAGACTCTGGTAAAGATAGCAATATAAATAGTTCCAAAAGTCAATCATCAAATTTGATACTCATTCTTGACATCTGATCAAGGAGCCCTTGAAATTCACTCAAGTGATTTGAAATAGAAGTCTCATCCTTATATTTCAAACTTATGAAGCTATTCAACAAGAACAATTCATTATTTCCTAATTTAG